CTCTTCATTATCACTTGTTGACATTAACCAGTAATAACCATATGAAGGATAAGGTGTTCTCCAAGGCTCTGTCCTGGGATCCTTTCTCTTGTTTTTCTGCACAATAACAACAAACGTAAATAACAAATATTACATGTACCACATGTTAATTTTATGAAAGAGTAATTTCTCATCATGGGAACACAGTTGACAACAACAACAAATATATAATTCCATAGTTTACAGAGCTTTATCACCTTAACTGCACATGAATCCAGTTTTAAATATATATATAACATGTTGCCTGGTAATGACAATATTGGTCACAAAAGACCTTTCAGTGAATGTATTGTATTAAGTGAGTAAAAATACTGAATGCCAGCTGTGAGAAGGAAATAGATGATTTATTGGCCCGCTGGCTAAGGCCATTGAAATGGTGCCTCATCCACCACTGTGCAGGGCCGGCACTGCTGTAACAGGGCTAGGTTATGTGGAAATCAGCCGGTGGCTGTGCCTCAGCAAGGACATCCCGCTGTGTGTGTTTTGGTAAGGTGGCCATTTTCGGAAATGAAAGTTGTTGGGTGTTGGATAATTAGGGCAAAGAGACCGGAGGGGAGGGGACGCAGACGTGTGAAGGGAGGGTAAAGGATTTCTGTGTCTGCCTGAATATCCCTAGGATGTGCTCTGAACAGTGACTGTCGAACTTGGGCAGTGAGAAGTGTATTATTTATTAGTGTGATGTGTTTATAACACATTGACTGAGACATCACTGACGTTCACTCGCTGCTTTAGATCTTACCGCCTGGTAATCTGAATAACCTGCTGTGGCTAAAACCCTACAACAACATTTCCTTTCAAAAAAGCTAACAGTTGTTTTCTATAATATAAAAATGAAGAAATCCATTCATTCATAGAGGAAATGTGACCTCTGTACTGAACCCATTCTGTAAACATTATATAGACTCTAGTATATACTAGTACTATTTGCTGTAAGAAGACCATACGCTTGTTTAGTTGCGGTGGCCCACATAAAATGACAGTACAGGCCTGATTTGGCCCACAGGCCTTGAGTTTGACATGGTGTAGGACATAATGGGCCTTGAGTAACGTTTTCTAACTGCCCAACAGATTGTGATTTCTGACTGAAGAGCAGAATAAAGTCCCCAGCCTGTCGGTGGAGCTATGTTATGTAATCCAACATGTAGAGCCCATCCACTCCTCAGGCTTAACAAATGGACATGTGTCCTCCGACCTTCAGATCTGACACTGTCACAATGTCAGTTCAGAACAAGTCACTTCATCATCTCTGGCGGCTCCTCGTTTGTTCCGTGTAAAGACTCTCAGGGCTTCATTCTAAAGTATAAGCTGTAGTGTTAACATATGGGTGTAATAAACACGGTGTGAGCTGCTGACCCAGTCTTGGTGGTGTGATGGCTGATGCAGCCGTTGGTGCAGCTTGGCTACTGTGTGCTAACCAGATAAGAGTGATTGAGGACCTGCTAAAGCCGTGACCTTTGCACAAGAGCTTTGTTGAAGGCAAAGGTCTACTGCAAATAAAATCCACATTTAACACTCGCTGCCTTCACTGGCTGATGCACAAATACACTCCCTGTTGTCATTCAGTCATTTATCATTTTCTTCTAATCTGAAGCTAACCCTAAAATGAACGTCTGCAGAACTCCACTGATGCCGTAAAGCAAGTGCATCGACACAAAGACTACGGCGTTTGAGGGTTGAAATAAAAGGGAGAGTAAAGAAGCAGAGTCACAGCTGCCAACAGCGGGAAGAGAAGAGGGAACCAGGGATTTACAACAGTTCACCTGTCAATGTGTCAGAGTGAGGCTGAGGCAAACTTCACAAACTCAACTCTTTCAAATGTTGAGGGCATCCAGAAAACAGCAGACCGAGTCTGGCAGCAGCTAATGAACCAAGGAAAAGGTTTCCCCTGATAAATAAGACATTTTCTTATTGTATATGTATTTACCTTGTCATTAGATTTAATAACAATGATATGCAGGCGGAATCAGCCACATCTTACAACTGCTGGACTCTTGTAGCTACCTGCCCATTTACAGTTATCCACCCTAAGTTTACAAACACAAAATGTCAGTATTAGTGCATGCTTTATCTTCAAACACCACAGTGAACCTGTCAGTCTTAGTGGCTCTGGAGGTTGTCTACTGTCTTCCCAGCAGGGCTCAGAGTCAGGGCTAAGGCTGCGTTTTTAATTTCTCCCCACAGTGATAGCATCTTGATGCTGCTTCATTTGGAGGTATTAGGACTGAGGCTTTAAAACCCTGAAATAACACAGAAAAAAAAAAAAACACGATAGGAGGAACACATGGTGTGGGATGTAAAAAGCCTTCTAAAATACAGCATTGTGGGTAATGGCCAGGGCAAAAGACAGATGGTTAGAAAGAGGATTTACTGAGAGGAGTTAACATCAACATCAGTGCTGTGTGATCTGAGCCGGTCGCACTGACCACAGCGCTCGATGATGGTCAGTAATATCTGCACCTATTACAACGGTTGAGTCAACTTCATTCAGAGGGATCCTTTACTGATAATACAGCACTGTTCACCACCTACGCCCCACTATGTTCTGAATGAGAACCTGGGGGCCGGGAGTGAGGGGCGGGAGGGACGCTTTTCACTCAGATGCAAATGTGGACATTTTTCATTTCTCCCATGATGCTCTCTGAGTGGATCAAAGCATCTACCGGTCAGATGACGCCATTCACACAACGAGGCTGGCATGACAGGGGCAAGAGGTGTTTGTGTGTGTGTTTGTGTGTGTAAGAGACAGAGAGCGAGAGAGAGAGAGAGAGAGAGAGAGAGAGGACATCTGTCAATGCTCCAAGCCAAATTGGGAGACACTGTACCGATTTAAATGCTGAGGGGCAGAGATGGAGGAGTGGAGATGACAGGAGGGAGAGAAGAAGGGGGAGACGGATCGGTGTGAGGGATTCACTCACTATGAAGCTGGAGAGAGAACACAAACAAATAAACACAAATAAACACAACCCCTCATGTTGTGTTGATACTCCTGTATAAAGGAGGCTAAACATACGGCACAGTAACAGTGGACGCTGCTCGTAAATAAACAGTTGGACCTGGAGCTGCAGCTATTGATTATGTTTATTAGATTAACCAACTACCTTCATTGATTTGATTAAATTAAATGATTAAATGAATGGATGAAGTAATAATAAATATTGATCCCGCCGTATGAAGCGTCCATTCTCTTTGGCTGTATATATGCAGCCACATCAGACGAATAGCTTTCTAATAGGAAACAAAAACAAGATTAAAGTGAGATTAACACCTGGTGTTCCAACAAATGATTTCCTGATTGACTGGGATGTTGTACAGCTCGACTAACAGGCATCGGCTTCCTGTCCTCTCTCAACAACACTTTACTTGTGATGTTTTTTAAAAGAGGACACGCTGGGAATCGCAGCGAGGGGAATCCTCGTCAACGTTAATCAAGTGCATCAGACAATGAAGGCTTCCAGAACAAAGATTGTCTGGTTCTCACTTTGTAAACACGAGAGGATGTCGGTCTGTGGGAGTTTTCTGCGTCCTAATTGGCTTTGTGAGGGAACATTCATCATTTTGTCTTTCAGAAACTTATTGGATGGATGAATAAAAGTGATGCTTCATTTTCAGTGGATGATCCTGACTGCTCAGGCCTAATGTGATATAACTAATCCTGCCAAACCATTGACTTAATCAGCTGTGGATTAATCATGGTTAATTGGAATTAGTCATGATTAATTTTACTTGTTTTTGGATATTAGACATTAACATTTCTGACTATAACAAAAAGAAAAAAACTTTGATGAAGCCCATATGAATTGGGTTATAATCTGTTGGTCTGGTCTGTTGGCCAGACGTCTGATCTGAAGTTGAAGCTCGTATTTGTTAAGACGTGTAAATTCATCGTGGTGAAATTACTGGCTGTACAGTGCACAGTCTATCCTCTGGATGTTTGCACACAGGACCTGCCCCTGATTCACTGCCCTGTAGAAGCGTGTCGGAGTTAAATGCTGCTGCTGGGCCTAATCTTTTCTCTTATCTCACCAAGGACNGGTTCTAACAGCTGGGTCACCTAAACGTCCACACCACAGCGGTCAGACTCCAGCGTCGATAAAACGTCACAGCTTTGCACCAACGGCGTCACATGACCTTAGATGGGAAGGGAAAAGGCTAATGAGGTACAGTGTTCTCACACCTGATGTGTGGATGCAAACACTTGCTGACAGAGCAACAGGGGACAGATGTATGGTTGGTAGATGGCAGACCAGGCTTGACGTTAATAGAGAGCAGTTCATGTCAACGCTGCTCCTATTAGAATGGAGTTCAAGGTGTTTGGACTGAATTCCCCCGAGTGTATGGACTGGGAAGAGGAAAAATAAATAATGAGAGTAAGTCCATAAATCATAGAAATCTGGCAGGAAAACTTAGCTCCATTTATGGGAGCATTAGGAGATAGTAGCAAATAAACTTAAAATGACCACATCATTTACATCATTCACATGGTTGACCACGAGTAAAAGAATGACCACGACTCTGACATGAAACTGTTGTCATTAATCTGGCCTTGATTTGATCATGATTTATCGTGATAAATCATGATAAATTAACATTAATCAAATGACAAAAAATAGGTTGTTGGAACAGAAAGACAAATAACAGCAGGTGGCAGTGTGCGTTTTACACCTTGTTTGTGTCTAATCCAAATGATGGAATTATTCATATGGAAATAACACTAGAAAAGTATGCAGTATAGTATAACACTAAGTATACATTCAAATTTGTGGATTTTAGTCAATACTGTGTCAATATTTTAGTCAATACTGTGTCAATATTTTAGTCAATACTGTGCATCTTGACGCTGGAGGTACAGTATCACTGACGCAAGAAGAAGAAACTTATAATCAGGCCACATTCATTCATAATTAGAATTCCTCATTAGGTTTACGTGGAGGAGGAAGTGATGCGTGACGTTGTTCACTTACATCTGTGTCAGGGCCTTTGTCGGCTCCAGGGCAGGAGAAACCGACAAACTCATGGCAGCGTTTGTGGACCACAAAGCAACACACTGGAAAAACACAGAGGAGAAATGTTAAACAGAGTGTTTGATAGAACTTGTCCCTCCTCCTCCTCCCCCTCCTCCTCCTCCTCCTCATCATCATCAATCCTTCTGTCATTTCTAATAAACGTTCTCCCACAATCAGAATTTTCAATCATCCAGACAAAGTGATTCAACAAAAAACTCTCCCATATGGACACACAAAAATGCACGCTGATGAACAGACTCACATTCATGTGTGCACCCACACTCACACCCACACAAAAAAATGTCACTGGTGTGATGTGTTCTGCTGCCCTCAGCTCTTCACAATCTGTTGGGCTGGTGCCGATCTCATCATCGTCTCCCAATGAACCGGTTTGGACCAGGGTGTCAGTCGGTGTGACACGGTCGACAACGAACTTGATCCCGCGTTCACGTCAGCAACAGTGGCATTTACATTTGGACATTGTGGACAACACGGACAGAAAAAGCTCGGACATCTGCGGAGCTGAACGCAGGCCGACTCGGTGGCTCTCGCTCTGTCCGCCAAACGGTTTTTCTTTTGCTATTATCTAAAATTCCTCTCTCTTTTTTTCACTTTCACTCTCACACAATCTGTCCGGATCGCTCGCTGTCAAGCTGCCTGCCTGCCCATCTGCACCCTTGTGCTCTCCCACCATTGTATTTGTGAGCATTTTGTCTCTGCCAAATATGTTGCCAGAAAATCTGACAGTCATTTGGTAAATGGGAGAAAGTAGTTCATGAAAAGTCCAAGAAAACAGCAGGAGGTTCAGACCGTCGTTCAGACTTTTAAAGGCTCAGTGGTGTCATAATGTGTGTTATGTGTTAAGTGCATTAATGGAAAGATGAATGGATAGTCAAAAGGATGGATGCAAAAATTCATACATTTGAATTGATGATGGATCAATACATGTAATTACAAATGGATGAAATGCATTCAGAGAAAGTTGAGTGAATGGACAGATGGACAGATGGACAGATGGACAGATGGATGGGTGGATGGATGTAGGGACAAATGGAAGTAATGAAAGCTGTTGTTGCATCGATGGATATGGCTAAGGATACAGTGGTATGAACCGCAATGATTGGATATATGAGTAAATGGATGGATGAAGGATGGATGAAAGGAAAAGGGATGGATGCACAGATGATGGATTCTTAGATGGATGGAGGGGAAGCAGGAATTAAAAGAAAAAACCTATGGATGACATAAATGGATGGATCCACTGTTGGATGGATGGACTGATGACCAGGTGGTTGGACAGACTGATAGGAAAATGATGGATGGATGGATGGATGGCCACTCCTTCCCATATAACATTTGAGATTTTACTGAATACAACTTCTGCTCCTGGACCTTCTATCACCCGCAGGCCTACAGTACCACCGTTTTTGTGCACACTCAGCCATCCTAGGTATTTCTATTTCTTCCTTTTTTGCGGGGGTCTGTCAAAACAGACTCTGCTCTCTGAAGCAGAGATTTATTACCTAGAACTAGGTGTTACAATCCCTGATTATTCAGCACTTTACCTGCCTTAAAAACCTCAAATGCTGTCAAGATACCATCCGGTGAGATAGTCTTTAAAAAAAAAAAAAGTTCAACTTCTGAGTATATTGGCCATTGTTTTGCGGCGTGACCTCGGAACATTTATTCCCACATCAGGTCCACCCACGTCCGGCCCCGAAAGTCCAACCTTCAAGCCTTCCATCCTACGTGCAGCCCACTGCGCTGTCAACAAAATTAAAATATTTGCTCACATGCAGAGCAGGAGTAAAAACACACATGAAGTTGGCTCTTTGTCAGAGCTGCGACACACACACACTCACACACACACTTTCATCAAGTGCGATTGACACCTTTTATTTTAACAGCCCACTTACGTTATGTGCGTAGTCTAATGATAAATGGACTCATTCCTCTCTCCATCCATCACCCTGCCTCGCAACTTCGGCCTCATCAATGCCTCTGTTTGGAACTGATCTCAGAGCAGTATGTGTTTTGGCTGTGATACATCGTGTCACCTAGCAGACTGACCTGTAACTGATCCGGGTAAAGACGTAAACAGAACAGCAAACGTACTTATATTTGAATGGATGTAGCTGACAGTGAAAACCCAGAAAAGAACACCGTACACTCACGGGCTCACTGTCCAGGGTGGACCCGAACCTTGCCCGACAACCCCATCCTCCAACCTGAAAAGCATTAAGCTAATAGAGATGCCTATGGTCATAGCACTATGGTATGGCTATGGTATCATAAACAACACCTAATACTAATGAAGGGGCGGGTGTTAAAGACAGAGACATCATTTATCTGTGGGCACAGCAATAACATAAGCACACACACACACACACACACACACACACACAGTTACAGCCACTGATTTAACAACTCCCATGCAGAAGCAGAGTGGCTAAAACACAGAGGCCGGCTGGGAGGTTGTTAAGCACAATATGTTTCCCACCAATGAGGAGGAAAGCTCTTAACACACCTCTTCCAAACACCTCCGTTTTTTGCAGCATCAACAAAAATATTTTCTTCACGCACCCTTGTAATGAGAGGAGAAAGAAGAACCAAAGAAGGTGAGAAAAGGGTTCTAATTAAGAGTGGGTTTGTGTGATATACCTCCACGACTATAATAAATCTAAGGCCTGACGCCATCGCAGAGACGTGACAGGGAAACTCCACTCCAGATGGTTTCAGTAATCTCAGAGAGAGCTTGGTGAAGCAGCAGGAGCAGAGGTGACACGGCGACACGCAGTAACTGTGCTGCTATGATGATTAATTACTACGGGGCTTTGTTTCACTAGCTTAATTGCATAAACGCGTAGATAAGGGGCTTTGCCGCTACAAAGCAGCTTACGCAACACAAACGCTGCGGTGAAAGTGAAGCAGGTGATGGAATCAGAAAAACACCTAATACGCTGCCGGTCAGTTGTACACACTGTACACACGTCTCCGTGTCTGTGTACACGTCAACGCTGATTCTTTGAAGTGTGGTTGTTAATGGAATTACGTTGCACTGGTGCTGAGGGGAAAAAAAATATAGATAGGACACCTGTAGCGCTGGAGCAGCTCCATACCCTCCAGACACAGTCGATTGATCGGTACCCCCCGAGTGCATCAGAACACAAAGGGAACTGAGGCTTTGATCCGAAATCGGCAGGAGGAAATGAGGGAAGCATGCAAAAGAATGGACGAATAGGTAGAGACGCAGGGACCGTGGTCCTGGGGAGTCCGGGGTTTGTACCACTGACGAAATTGACGTTTTGAACTGAGTCGAAACGTCTCCATCTGCTCCAACCGCTGTTGCTCCCCTGCATATGAATTATTGAAAAACATTTGTGTGAAGAAGAGGACACAAATTAATAATTATGTACAAATGAATAATTTCCTCTAACTCAGGGGTATCAAAGTCAAATTCACAGTGATCCCGTGGGCCGAATATAGTCACACTGTGGGCCAGATTTGGCCCCCGGGCCTCATTTTGACATGTGTGCTCTAACATAAACAAGAAAAAAACCACACACTCCCCAGTCTGACAGCTTATTGTCTAAAATGTTTTTTCTCCTTTGTAGTTCTCCTCTGTGCTCTGTCTTAAATGTCAGTCCTGGCTGAAAAATGACAAGGAGACAAGAATAGTAGAAGGGAGGAGAGGAGAGGTGAGAAGGGGGAGGAGAGGAGAAAAAGAGGAGCGGAGACTGTTTTGTCCCCCTTTGGTTATTTTTAGGCCTAATTCTCACCAGGGCTGGAACAAATTGTGCTGAGCCTCAGCATCACGGAGAGGAAGAGGGAGGACGTTTCCTCTACACCTGGCCAATGGATCCTATAAATACACGTGGCTGTGGTGTGCGCTGATACATGCCTTTGTGACATACAGTATCACAGAGCAGCCGGTGATGAATGAAAAGCTATTCCTGTCACAAGCCGCCGTAAGTGCTGAATGGTAGACGGTAGACGGAAAAAAGCTGAAAGATGACCGCGGCCACGGTCGGCCGCAGAGCAGCGGCCTTTACACAGCACAGGGACCCGCTCCCCACCTGTGTCAGGTTCTCGTCAAATTTTGATAGGGTTCAAGGGTCGGGAGGAAACCATATCTGTCTGTTGTTTACCATCAGGATCATTTCCAGAAGCATACTGCTCTTGACAGGTAACTTCAATTTACGGCACGGAAATAGTAAAAAAGCTTTTCAAGCAGATTATCCCTCGGAATATAAGTACGACAAAAGGGCATTTTTCAACTACTAAAAAATTGACAGACACCTTCCTCCTAAAAACTAATGATGCAAAGCTACTTGGTGGTCAGGATTACTTTAGATAGTGCGTGCCCCCCCCCCACAACAGCATCTCTGTCAGTTTCACTACAGAGGCTTCATTTCATTTATTTTTCTAACTCCAGTTGTGACCTCTGACCCCTTGGCTCCGCAGCCAGTGACAGATTTGAATTTCTCTGTGCCCCGGGTCACATGACTCATAACCACCAGCTCTCTCTGTAGGCTGCAGGAGACGGATGGCTGATGACCACAGATGGACTGACACAATGACAGTGAAGACAGTGAGAGGAGCCGAGCGGAGGCGTTTCTACAGAAACCGCCTGCAGATATATTCGAACAGGGTTACTCTGCACTTTTCTGGTTATTTACATGCAACTCCAACCATTTTTTTCGGCCGTTTACCATTGTATCCAACCCTGAAGAAGACATTTTCCCTTAAATAACAACGTTTAATTTATCATCTGTATATTCACCCACTGTAATGTGATATCATTTAATAGTACTATGCCTAATTACTTGAGTTTGTTGCAACATGCTGCAGCTGTCACTTCTCACCAGCTAAGGCTGACGACGCATCTGTGACATGATACAGCGTGAGGGAGGAAGAACCAGAGGCTAATGCAGTGGAAGCCGAGACTAACAAACTGGTCCTGTTTATTATTATGTATTATTAAGTAGCAGATGACGTGTTTACAAAACTGATGAGATTGCAGTAAAAGATGACACGCGAGAAAGACAGACTGAATGATCAGGAGAACAGAACAGAATTACCTTGTGCCTTGTTTCTTACTTAACACTTGTTCACATCAAGTTTCTCATGCAAATGGAGTACTTTATATCTAGGCTCTTGGCAGAATCGTGCACAAACGAGAGCATCATCTTTGTGGATTACACAGAAAAAAGAACAGAAAAATATACAAACAAACACAGAAGGCTCGTTACACGTGTATTTGTCAAGTTATATTTAAATTCTGAACCAGCTGTCTGCAGCAGTCAAGTCCATTTTTCAGACTGAACACTGAACACGGCAGGGAAACAAAACAAAACAATTGCTGCTGACCACTTAAAATACAGTAAAAGCAGGGTGAACGTTGTTGAGTCCCAGGGTTTCAAAACAAAACAATTGCTGCTGACCACTAAAATACAGTAAAAGCAGGGTGAACGCTGTTGAGTCCCAGGGTTTTTTTTGTCAAATGGAACATGTAACTCATCATAAGGTCAGACGAAAGGAGCCGCTAAGGAAAATGGAAACTTGTTTTTTATTTGTGGTCTGGCAGAAAGTAAAGGAAATACTTCAGTTTGAAGTCACAGAGAAGGCAGTGGTGGAGGAGCTGCTCCACCTGAATGAATGGAGCACTGAGCTGAGTTACTGACTCAGTTACTT